GGTACAAACTTCCTGCTGAATGCCCCATATGTTTGAGTTTTCGGTGAACACGCGAAAAGCCAATTTTCGAGTCGAACTTACCTTCGACTCGAACATGCAGCCCATCTCTATTCAAAACAAGCTCCCCATCCATACATGTCTCTGTGCTTTATTCTGTTGAGAAATTTCTTTAAAAAAACACCCTCTAGCATTCCTAGCTGTGGCCATCTTGAATGGGGCAGATGATTCATGTAGCATTTACTTCTTGGAATTCAGCTGCACATAGCTCAGGCATACAGGCAGGAGGGTGGGCTTAGCTATGAAAGCCCCTCCTCCCCTTCTCTAGATGATAAAGAAAAATTAAGACTCCTGGGATGCATGAGATCATTTCGGCCTGCGTCAGAAACCAGGAAGCAAGTGAAGAAATGTAAAAGAATGTTTAATGCAAGTAAATATACATCCCTATCTATATACTAATGCTAGAAGCATTGAGATATTTTATTTCTGCTTTATGATTTGCCAACATCTATTGCCATAAACCCTTTAGTCTGATTTTTTCATAGTACATAGTATTTGTTTGAAATTTGCAAGAGATAGTAATTGTAATGCCCATCTGCTACAATGAATGCTATGATTAATGAAATAATTTACGCTCTCTCTCTCTGTATATATATATTTATATATATATATATATACTATTTTTTTCATTTACTAAAGAAAATATTTTAAAACAGTGAACATGTGCTGAAAGAGACTATTTTTCTGCTTGAGTAGAAGTGAACACATCTTTAACATTCCAAGAGAATCAAAGACAATTTTTTCAACTCAATGAAGGTTGACCCATCAAGATGCTGGCAGAGACCTGAAAAAAGGATAAGCAAAACAGCACAAAACAAAATGATTTCATGGTATTCCGCTCCCATATTATCTCTTGGCATGCAGCTTGGGACATTGGCATAGACATTGAAGCAATCCACAATTGAGATTTGATCACAATATGTACCAACTCATTATACTGCACCTGGCCATACTGTGAAACCAGCTTCAGAAGTGCAATCCCAACATCAGGTATTGTGATGTAGAACATATGGTAACAAGATGAATCTGGTCCATGGTATGTCTCTCAGGAGAATGGACATGTTAAGACTTAAATGGTTTTCCATGAGCTGCGAAATCTGTAAAACTACAACATTCATCATTAATGTGAAAATACTTTATTTGACAAATGTCTGATTATTGTAGACCAATCGCTATTATAACAAGAACATAGGTATATCATTAACATGTACTGTAAGGTGATAAATGCATTTCCACTCAGATTGATAAAACAATATATGCGTCTAAAATTACACATGGATCACACAAAATTAATTTTTAGGAATATTTTCTCAGTATTTTGCTGTCTGAGTAGGACCCTGAAATTTGAACCCTCTCTATTCAATAAGAGATACATTGACAACAAACAAATGACACATACTGTTTGCATATGAATAGGTATTCTGTTATGGCATGGTTTCCATCCAGGTTTCCATACAGCCACTGGAATCTTTTCCTAGATGACTGAAGTGAAGTGTTTTTGGAAGGAACAGAAGAAAAGCTGAAGTCCAACTCCAGCTCCTTTTATCAATTTCAGATAGAATGTGGAAGAGTAAAAAACTGTCAGGGTTTTTCTTTTGTGACTATAGACGTAAAAACTTTGGTTGGCTTTCCAAGGCTCTATCCTAGGGCCTCTGGTGACTGAAGCTGCAAAATGACGCCAGTGCATGGAGAGCCCTTCCTGGCTCTATATATCCACAATTCAAAAAAGGAAAGGTGCCACACTGCCCAAGAAAACAGCCTAGGTGATCAGGATTATAAGAAACAGCTTCATCCTAACGCCATCCAGGCCCAGCCCTCTAATGCATTTCATTCACCCACCCACTGGGCTTATTTATAGAGGTCTATGACCATGCCCCATGGGCAGGGCAAAATGCGTCAGAGGGCATTCCCTGGATGGAGCTAGGCTGAAGCTGTTCTTATCATCCTGTTCACCAAGGCTGTTCCTTACGCAGTGTGGCACATTTCCTCTTTTGAACTGTGTATGTATAGAACAAGGACGGGCTGTATTTGCACTGGCACCCTTTCTTCTTTAGAATTGTGTAGATTTTCATTCTTGTTTGTGACCCCACTGAGGATATTTAATGTTCCTGTGATGCCAGTACAAAAATTGGGTTGCTGCCATTACATACAGTAATCTCATTCTTAGTAATCCTAACCCTTCTTCAGGCTACCCAACAAAAGTATTTTCTCAGTTGTGTCCCCATTAGGGAGATTTCCTGTGACAGTGGTAAAAAAAAAACTATTCAAAAAGATATTCAATTTAAACATTTTGAATAAAATTCCATGGATCCTCTCTCTTTGCCTGTCCTCCACTGAGTTCTATTCTTCTGAAAAAGACCTTGTGAAAGAGTTACACAATAAGAATAAATTAATGCATGTGGGATACTGAGCATCTTGGCCCACATAGCCAATATGATCACTATGAGGGGTTCCCATCCTCCCTCTTGGATTTTTATCTTTAGTCTTGCACAGTTGTAAAGGTTCCTTTCCTGTATTGAAAATGCTAGGTCTGATTTTACTGCAGTTTCCCACAGTGTGCAATAGAAACCACAACAAATCAGACTGAGCCTACCTGAAAGATATCCAGCATCATCTATCCTTTTCTTCTTCAGCCTGACTGTTCATGGCCTGGCCCTTTCACTCATTGGATTTCATTTGTTTCAATCATGGAGCTTCAGCATCACATGTGCGCATTACCTAAGGGAGTCTTCAAATAAAGGCAGCCTGCCTAGAAACTGAGAGAGACATCCACCCATCAAGACATTTTAAAATTCGATAACTCATCTCAAGATCCAATTCACAGCTTGCACCATGGCTGAGGGCCCGTGAGAGAAAAGACTAAAATAAGATATGTAGTGAAAACTGAAAGTGATTATGTACAAATTTCACATGCATGTTGATGAGTGTAGAAAATAGGTAACCAAGAAAGGAAACTTCTAAACATAATAAACTTCAGCTTTAAAATCTACAGCTATGGGACAGAGCCTGCATCTCCTCTTCTTTAAGTCCTTAAAGTAGAACTATAGATAAAACTTATTTTTATTTTGGATAGAGAAAGGGAGGGTATAACCTGCTCAGTTTATTTTTTTGCCATCTGTGTCCCATTGGGGAGATTTACCTTCACTTTCTGTTCCATAGCCAAAACAGAAAGTGAGAAAATCTCTGAAAATTAAGGGAATACCTTGGGGACCCCCCAGGTCTCCAGAACTAGTGTACTCAATGAAAAATGTCCCCTCTATTACTTTTCTGGGGACAACCCAAAATTTGGGGTTTCTTTTACTTTCACGTTCAATGATAATGGTAAACTGAACAAATAGAGAAGATGAAACTCCCTAAAGAGGGCACAGACGGCAATAGAAGCCTAACAGGTTTTCCATGGAAACAAAATAAAAAAGTTTTGTCTTTAGTTATACTTTAAGAAATATTGTATAAACATCTAGTGCAGAATTTATCACCTATGACCTCCCGAAACTAAAATGTAAGTTTTGAGTTGACTTATCCTTTAAATATTCAACTTTGGGTTAGGTGAAACGTCAGCACTTTTTTCATACGACTAGAAATTTACAGGTCGATTCACAAGAAAATATACCCATCAAGTAGTTTTCTTGAAGACTGCCATTGGTTCCATTAAAAGACCTTTATAGGACACCAACTCTTTTTTAAAGGAAATAGAAATTATTTTTTTTCTAAACATTCTGTCAGACAGATCATTCAGGTAAGTGCAACTGCCTTTTCCCTTGTATTTAAGCATACTGAATTATTCACTTTGGAGTTTCTTTTCTTTTTTCTAATACCTTCCCAAATTCCCCGTACTTTCAAGCTAAAGTCTATTTCAAGGTTGCGTAGACAATTTTGCTGACCTCAGAAGCACAGTTTGTAATATGCATGAAAATGCCTTGTAGAACACCTGTTCTTAAAAAAATATTCAGTTCAATGCTGTATGTATGAAAAATAAGTGTTGTGCTAAAAATGAATAATAACGGTGTTAAAAAAAAAAAGAGTGCTCATGTAATACTGAAAAAACCCAAGTGAAAAAATGAATAACAATAAAGAAATAATCCTCAGTGGAATAAATGTAACAGTCCCCTTTACAAGGAATACTCCAAAATTCTTCTCCCTTTTCTTCTCAAGCACCAGTGTCACCCAAAACCACAGTGAAGGCAAGATGTGGGCTTACCAAATATGCCAAACCCCTTATTCAGAATGGTCAGTAAGCACTTAATTTGCTATATCTTATTGGCAACTCTCCTCTCAAATCAAAATGTTGATATCCAACAAAGCTTCTCAGATGGAAGATTATAATACACTCAGAGATAAATGCCTCTCATAGTACAGATATTTTTTAAAAACACCATTTTAATTAACAAGAGCTGCACTCACAAACATCAAAAAGCATATGCATAACATTACATTCACCAAACGGCAGAATTAGTGTCAACTTCTGGTATAGTGTTCATGATGATGTAATGGGTGGAGTCTCCCCCTGACGTCATCACGTACACTATACCGGAAGTTGACCCCAGCAGTCGTTAAAAAAGGCATTCCTGCTAGAAATACCCCACTGGCTCTGTCCTACTCCAGTAATTTATTTCTGCCACTAGATATTCTTCAGGAAAGACTAAGGATATCCTGTGAGAGCAGGGTTTCATGGATGCCTACTTTGGGGGTCTCCCCACCGCATTCAGAGTGCAATGATTCAGAAAGCAGCACTGATTTTATGTCATCATCACCACACTATGCATCACCAATGGGAGATAGTCCAAAGAGAATGAGGACACTGCATGTTACATAACCAGCCTGAAAACTTTGAAATACGGTAAGTAAAAAGAAAATGGAAAAAAACGTGGGGTTCTTTAAGGGAGAAGGGGATGCATGGAGGAGCCAGGAACTTGGAGCCCAGGGATGGGCTTTACCGACTAACCAAAAATACCATAAACAAAATAAAGAGTTATAAAATGGTACAATTTGAATCCATTATCTGTTTTGTCCTATTTCATCAGTTCCTAAAAGAAGAGCAAATAGATTCATTTTTCGGATAATTTATTTTGTGGGAAATGACTGTTAATTAATACAAATGCGTATGAACCGAGGATAATAACTTGAGTAGAGGCATTAAAAAGCACGTACAGTATATGGATTTAAAAAAATCTTCTCTACTCTTTGGAGATCTGCAGATATAACACAGAGAAAGCTTTATGATATACAACAGTACAAGATAATCAGCACTTCCAGAATCTATTAAAGTGGAGCTTTGGGCTTCCCCCCAAAATTTAAACATCAGGACCTACAAATTCTGCAGCTACTGTATTACATATAAGGGCACTTCCATGTCCAAGGGATCCAATGATGTTCTCACCCAAGCAGATTCTTCAGTCGGCTTTGGGTGCTGGTGCCGGCATCTTCTGTAAGGGAAACTAGAAGTGAAGCTTGTGGCTTCACAGCTGGCTACCTATTGAGCATGCCCGAAGGGCGCAGCACGTGTGAATGGGCTGCAGTCTTCTGGGACCTGTGAAGTGTTCCAGAAGACTGCAGGGGTTAGGAGGGGGGGCTGAACTTCTGGCTCAGATCACCACAATGATCTGACCCAGAAGTGGGAGCAGGGAAGATACAGTTGTGTTCAAAATAATAGCAGTCAGACATCACTAACCTGATCAATCACTGTTTTTGGTAGAAATTATATTTCTACATGGCAAATAATTTACTAGTAGGTGTAGTAGAGTAATAGAAATCCAACAGACCCAACAGTCATGACATGCATGCTGCTGATTCTGTGTAATTGAATCACTAATTGAAAGGGCATGTTCAAAATAATAGCAGTGTGGAGTTCTATTAGTGAGGTCATTCATTCTTTGAAAAACAGGTGGCAATTATTGCCCTTATTTAAGGAAGGAAGGCAGCAAATGTTGTACATGCTGGTTACAGTGCATTTCTCTCTGAAATTCTGAAGAAAATGGGTCGTTCCAGACATTGTTCAGAAGAACAGCGTACCTTGATTAAAAAGTTCATTGATTGGAGAGGGGAAAACCTATAAAGAAGTGCAGAAAATGATAGGCTGCTCAGCTAAAATGATCGCAAATGCTTTAAAATGGCAACCAAAAGCTGAAAGACGTGGAAGAAAGCGAAAACCTACCATCCGAATAGATAGAAGAATAGCCAAAATGGCAAGGACTCAGCCAACAATCAGCTCCAGGAAGATGAAAGAAGATTTAAAGTTACCTGTGAGTACTGTTACAATTAGAAGACGCCTATGTGAAGCCAAGCTATCTGCAAGAAGCCCCCGCAAAGTCCCACTGTTGAAAAAAAGACGTGCTGAAGAGGTTACAATTTGCCAAAGAACACATTGACTGGCCTAAAGAGAAATGGCGCAACATTTTGTGGACTGATGAAAGTAAGATTGATCTTTTTGGGTCTAGTGGCCGGAGACAGTTTGTCAGACGACCCCCAAACACTGAATTCAAGCCACAGTACACTGTGAAGACAGTGAAGCATGGTGGCGCAAGCATCATGATATGGGGATGTTTCTCATACTACGGTGTTGGGCCTATTTATCGCATACCAGGGATCATGGATCAGTTTGAATACATCAGAATACTTGAAGAGGTCATGCTGCCTTATGCTGAAGAGGAAATGCCCTTGAAATGGGTGTTCCAACAAGACAACAACCCCAAACACACACAGTAAACATGCAACATCTTGGTTCCAGACCAACAAGATTGACGTTATGGAGTAGCCAGCCCAATCCCCGGATCTTCATCCGATAGAAAACTTGTGGGGTGACATCAAAAATGCAGTTTCTGAGGCAAAACCAAGAAATAGAGAAGAACTGTGGAATGTAGTCCAATCATCCTGGGCTGGAATACCTGTTCACAGGTGCCAGAAGTTGGTTGACTCCATGCAACACAGATATACAGCAGTTCTCAGAAACAGTGCTTATACAACCAAATATTCATTAAGTGATTCAAAGGAAAGCAAAATCTTCAAACATTTTTCAGTTTATATAGTGAATGTTTGAGTTTGTAAAGAAGAATACAAACACTGCTATTTTTTTGAACAGTCTAATATTCACTTTTCTTCCATTTTTTTAGAGGAACGACACAAATTTGATCTATTTTTCTTCATTTTTTGATTTGGAATAGAATGTGTCGTGTTCCCAATGCATTTGTGTGTATGGACATAAAAGCTATTAGAAGGATTTTGAGCTTTATTCACTTTTTTCAACACACTGCTATTATTTTGAACACAACTGTATATCATAAACTGGTGCAAAATCTGGCGCAGCTCTGCATAGAAACTGCCATAGGTTTTATTTCGAAAGCTTATAGCAATATTAAAGGTTCTTTTTTTTGCAAGTATAAACATGCTTACCTGCACTGTGTAGTGGTTTTTCACAGAGAAGCCTGGATCCTCTATGTGTCATGGTTGTTGGTGCCAGATGGGCTGGTCTGAGTATTTCAAAAACTGCTGATCTACTGGGATTTTCACACACAACCACCTCTAGCATTTATAGAGAATGGTCCGAAAAAGGGAAAATATCCAGCGAGTGGCAGTTGTGTGGACAAAACTGCCTTGTTGATGTCAGAGACCAGAGGAGAATGGACAGACTGGTTGCTGTGTGACATTCAGATGGTAGAGTCAGAATTTGGCATAAACAGCATGAAAGCATGGATCTATCCTGCCTTGTATCAATGGTTCAGGCTGGTGCTGGTGGTGGTGTAAAGGTGTGAGGGATATTTTCTTGGCACAAGCAAGGTGTACCTAATAAAGTGTCTGGTGAATGTATGTGAGGTCTAACTAAAGAGTTATATAGGGGATTGAGGTCCTCCTTTCTCTTGCTGGTGACCCCTTTAGTGATTTTAGAGTTCTACTCGCTTTAGACATCTTTCCAGAGCCTTTCAAAATTTGAGTTAGAATGAGCCAAAGCAGCAAGTTCAGACTGCACTGCACAATGAAAAGAACTGATATCCTTCCATAGTTAAATCAGGTAAACAGAATTGATGCAGTATAATTAAGTGTATATTTATAATCTCTTGAATCCAATATAGTTGAAGCCTGTATTGAGATTGTTCTTTAGTGAAGCTGATGACAGTTAATCTGATGTTAGTGATTAAATACATTTTAAATATACACGCAGATCTGTGCTTTTGGATGTTTCCAGACATTACTCCAGAGTTGGCAGTGAATAATGTTTTAAGTGCATAGTAGGGGAAATCTGCAGATGGGGAGATCAAAGGACCAAAGTAGTCAAGGTAGAAGGAGATCCACATGAGTAATGATGCTCCAAGTGCATTCAGCATTTTCCAATGATTTCTGAGTGGGACTGATGTTTGGCTCTAGTCTCATATAACTATAACTATGTCATGAGCTATAACACCTACCTGTCTGCTTTATGTGGAAGATATTCCCAGAAGGACAAGAATTTATAAGCCATAAAACAAACTGTGGCAAGGCTTGCTGTGCAGCAGAGGATCACAATCTTCACCAACACACTAAGGCTACGTTCACACTAGCCTTGTGTGCAGGCGGCAGAGAGGCGTTTGGTAAGCGTTTTTACTGCTTCCCAAACGCCTCTGCCAATTCTGCACATTACAGCACATGGTGCTGTTCTAACGGGAGCGTTTGCGTCGCGTCGCGTTGCGTCGCGGCAAAACGGACGCCTCTGGACGAGTCAGGAGGCTTTGAAGCCTCCTATATATTGTCTATGGTGCCGCTCCGCAAACGCCCGGCCGGCGTTTGCGGTGCGGTTGCGACGCGGTTGCGGGGCGTTTGCGGAGCGGTAACACCACTCAAACTGCATTATAGGCGTTTGTGGGGCGTTATTAACGCTCGGCAAACGCCTAGCAAACCGCGCATGCGGCGTTTGCGGAGCGTTTGCCGAGCGTTAATAACGCTCTGCAAACACCAGACCAACGCTTGCCAAACGCTATAGGGGCGTTTGGCAAGCGTTGGCAAAACAACCTAGTGTGAACGAGCCCTTACAGTAAATATTGTATCTACTGATTAGCCTGTTGCATCAGTATATAAAAATCCAAAGAGGTTATTCATTTTTTTAACTTTGTATACTACAATTTTTATTTTTGTTTATGTAAGAATTTGCTGTACTCTCTTACATAAAGCACCCTCCTAGTTGGACTGCTAGGTAAACTTAATTTTTGGTTCCTACTGTAGTCAAGGGAGCACTGATTGTTTGCTCTGGTCTATTCAGGGTTTCATAGGCTGGAAGTCTGATTACTTCCCCTGCCTCTACAATAACTTTGAAGAGCTTAGGGAGGGAGAAGGAACATTACCAGCCTGAATATTGATCAGGGGCTAGCCAGTCCTTGGGGTGGTGTGCCCAGATGGTGGCTGGTGAAGCTGATAAATAATCTGAAGCCCTGGGGAGATTGTCTTCACCTGAAAGAAGAGTTTCCAACCCGTTGCTCCTCTGAAGCAAGCCCTAAATTGTGCTGCTGTTCTCTGAGCTCTGGGGACTGGAGATCTGGAAGAGTCCAGGAACTGGCTGCAGGACTTTACCAAAGGGATCTGATCTTGAGAAGGATTTTTCTCATTCACTCAGCGGTGTCCAGAGGAAGCTGGGAGGTGGCAGCTGTCCTGGGGACTTGTGAGTAATGACTCTGTGTTGATTCCTGGTGACTATGTGCTTTTGGGATATAAGTGCCAGATTCTGCTATGACGGAAACTACTTTTATAGGTTCTCAAATACTGGCCATTCCCCTGTCCTTAGCAGTGTCCTAGACTGAGAGCTTAGTGGTTTTCTGTACTGTGCAGTGTTCCTGAAGTTGCGCTGGTCACCTACAACTGTGAATTGTGCAGGGTAACCAAGTATCAAAGAGACTTGCATCATGGTCCCTAGCTGTGAAACTTAAAGTGTGTTCAGAAAGATACCTCATGGTCCCAAGCTGTGAGGCTTTAGACTGTCCTCTTATTGATGTTACTAGTTTTGAAGTATCCAATTTAACCATTTCAATACCGGGCAATTTTACACCTTCCTGCCCAGGCCATTTTT